TTCCTTAGCGTCATGCTTCATCTGTTCAAACTAGCACCATCAATCTTGCCATGACTTGAACAGTCGGATGGGCACATTCAGGAAAATCAGGTTGTAAAGGTTGTTGCATCCGGACTCATCAACTTCAGCATCCTGAGGTCGACACGTTTGCTGGACAGAATACGTCGCAGCTTCGAATTGGGAGCCATCTTCCTTCGTTGCGCAACAAGCTACCGTTTCATGCGCGAAACCATCTGGGAACAGATGCATGATCCACTATAGCCTCGAACATGTGGCTTTGCAAACTGATTTCTGCAGGCTGCCAGCATGCCCCGAATCTAAGTCTATCAGCCTACATTGGAGCTCCTGACACATGCAGCGGTTGCAGCATGACCATCCCGGTTTCCAGTTCAAACTTTTCACGTGACCCATTGAGAGCGGCACTTTGAGCTCTTCACTGAAGCTGCCTCAGTTCAAGCAGCACTTTCCAAGCAGCCGCTTGTGTCGTGGCAACGCATGCAACGCAACCAGCTCAATTTTAAGGCCACGGCGTTTTCTACGGATCCCAGCTTGGATATGCTGGCCGACACCGGCACACGCTTTCGCATCATGACTTCACCCTCCTTGGCATGGAAACAAGGGCTTAGTCAACTTCAAGGCGCTACATGTTACCTTTTTGATATCCATTCAAAATATGCATCTCCGCTAGAAGCAAATGCACTGGGCTTGCGTACAAGCAGAAATCTCTCTTGCTGCTGTTAGCTGTATGCGAAGACCATCCAATACTTGCACTTAAGATCGCAGCGGCTCTGGAAAGCAGTTCCTGAACTGGGCATCCTGCCAAGTGCTGTGGCACCTTTGTTTCTGCACCTTATCTAGCAGTCTAGCAGCAAGCACCAGCAGTGGTGGGACTTCTATTGTACAACATAGTCCCTGTCGCATTCTTGCCAGCTGCTTCATGATTGTTATTTCTTCAGGCTTGCAGGCCTGCAGGCTTCAAGGGATTCTCAGGCCAGTCTCCGAACTCACTCCAAGGTGTGTTCAAGGGGACCCAAAAGCTGCATATGCGTTGTGGGAGGACTGTGGGGGCCAAAGGGGGATTCTCTGGAACTCGTTTTGGGCTCCGACAACTTCTGCCTGCTGCGTATCCGGAGAAGCCCAGAAACCAATTTCAAAAGCGGCATGCAGTCCAGTAGCTACCCTGCACGGAAACCATGCAAATATTACCCTGGTTTTCCCATTTGTCGAGTGTCCCCTTCCGCACTTTTAAGCGCCAAGGCCCAGGCTATCCTCGCGCTTGCTTCCCGGGAGGCTGCCACGGCTTGAGTTTGGAGGAATCGAGGGATGGCAAGGGCAAGGGGCGAAGGGTTCAGGTTTGGATGCCAGCTCTGTGGCATGGTATTGGACTGACTTGAAAGACGCGGTCCTGATCCTGCACGTCTGCATTAACTCGCATTTGCATAAGGCCTCTTAAAAATCATGTCCGCATTCGGATTTCCAACAGACATACAGCACAGCAACTCAACTCCTCCCACAGTGCACACAATGCAAACAGATATCTCTAACGGCATGACGGCTAGATGACTTGAAGATCTTTATAAACGAACGGCGGCCTCTTCTGGCCGCGTGCCTCACAAGCATCGCATGCGCAGCATGCCATGTGACGAGAATGGCCATGGGCGCATGCGAATCTCCCAGACATGAACAAAGTTACACTCACAGCGTCACACGGCCCCAGACATGTTTACTGTGGGACCGAAATGGACCGAACGCGCCGTCTCCCGCACCTTCTCAAACTCTTGGCGTGGAGTCCAAGACCACACATTCAATTGCGAACCTGCAGAACATGGCAGACCAGTAGCTGTGTTTGGGGCATTGAGAAACACATCTGCAGCTTCTGCCCTGACGACTCTAGAGTAGAGAAGCCGAAAGTTTACGCGCCTATTGGCAAAGCATCCTTGTAGTGAAACCTGAGCAAGACGAGCTGATGGCATTTGCGCAGGGCGCAGGACAAAGCTTTGCGACACAGAAGATATGACCACCTTCGGAAGCTAAACGCCAAACACGATATCAAGTTAGCACTGCGTGTGCACCAACCTTTGGCATGCCAAGTTGCCTGCTGCTAGAGCATATTGGCCAGGATTTGTTGGTTAGTACGTATCAAGTTTAGGAGTGATCGGGCAGACAAACATGTCAGGAGTTTCGGAGAATGCCTCATTGGGTCCAAAGACAATATGCTAAAGTCAACCTACAGCACTGTAAATTGCGACGGAAGAGGCTACATCTGATTGTCCTGAACTTCGGGTACAACAGCACCGCTGCCTTTTTCTTGAACGAAACACCAAGAGAACTCTGCAGCGCAAGCATCGCTCTCGTTGCCAGACACCGACTCTGATGGTGGTAACCCTCGGCATCCGGTGCATGGAGCTTCTGAGATGCCTTGGCCCTGTGGCTTCTCTTCTTGCAGGTAGAGAAGGATAATCCCACGACATTCCATCGGACGGTGAGATAACGAAATGCAGCTGCTGAAGGAAGGCAAAAAACCTGCACATGCCTTCGAGCTTCGTCTGCCTGTAGACTCCAGCTTACCAAGCTCACCAACTTTGCCTTTCCGAGATGGTGCATCTTGTTTGGTCTCTAGGAATGACCCTGACTGGCCTTGAAATCCGAACCACGCGGTTCAGAAACCCTCGGGGTTGCCAGCGGCAGCCAGAAGGTAACTGAATGCGCCATATTTCTGTTGGGTGATCTTCTAGCCACCCAACAGAACTACCCGATTTGCCATCTTGGAAAAGGCTGCAATGGCACAGGAAACATACTTAGCATGGCAGGCATAAAGCAATCCCGGAAACATGTGACACGTCCCAGATCGTTGTTTAAGTCTGTACCGAGACAGAGTCTAGCCCTAACTTCTGCGCTGTTGTCGTGGTCTTGCCTGCAGACTGCATCACTGAGGTCAATAACACTCCCGAAGCAACCTTTGAAACGGCGAAACTTGCATGTAAGACTGGTTTTCGCAATCCCTTCTTCACCTTCAGCCTCAGCGATACTGCCATGTTGTCGGCCTTTTTCAGTCGGACCTTCTACCTCTGGCAACATCCTACAGCCAGGTTACCATCCAACAATAATTTCCATGAACCCCAGCCCATGGACCGAGCTTCCAGGCCTTTCCAAACTGAAGTTGCAGTCTGCCGTGGCAAAATCCTTTCGAGACATCAGTGGGGCCAGTTGGGACTGAGTCTCGATGCTTGGCCACACATACCTCGCAAGAAGACCTCACTGCTTAGTATGACAGTAGACTTTCTGTATGGCAACTTCTTTGCAAGTCAACTTCCTCTGCTCCACTCCCTCTTGCAGTGCTCCTGCCCCATCGGAAGGCCGATGCATGCCACCTCAGTCAAGCACAAACACTAAAACACTAAGAGTCTTCAGAGTTAGGTGTATGAAAAGTCAAGCTTTCCTGAAAGATTTGTTGAGTGCCTTGCCTTGGCATGGGCAGGGTTGGCCACGCGGAAGGTTACCTGGAGGTTGCTGCGCTCACTTAGTCAGAGATCAACGGCCGTGTGTGAAATGCAGTAGACTTGGAAGCTCATCCACTCCAGTCCATGGTGAGACACACATGCATCCTACAGGAACACGATCATGATACAATAGTCAGGGATTTGAAGCCCTGGCAGACCTGGTGCACGCAGTACAAGGTGTTCAAACCTGGATAGCCCGCACTGCCGATGTTGTCTTCTGTGTGATAGCTGTACCTCCGTCAGCATACTTACATTCACTATCACCTGACTGCGCATCTCATCAATGTAAATACTGAAAACAGTAAAATCATTGAAGTCATCGCAATCACTACCCGCACTGAATATAATGGAGGCATCATCGAATCAGCATCTGTGAAATGTCTCAAGTTTTTGCATCAGGTAACCTTACGGAAGTCTTCAAAGGGCAGAAGCTTTGAACACAAAACCCAAAACAAAGTCCACAACATCTTATCCTACGAGTTTAGCTTCTCTTGACTAGCTCTAGGCACGCGCTGGTGACCTCGTTCAGTTGATGCTGCAGTGTGGCCGAGCAAATGCCGAGTCGGTCTTCAAGGACAGCCGGCCAGCAGCTTTTCCATGATTCTGCATATTCGTTGTTCTCGTCACAAAGGCTGCTCTCACAGGACTGCAGCAGCGTGTTGTCGGACGGCAACTTCCAGCAGAGCCTCCTGAGAGGAAGTTGCTGGCGCTGGACCTGCTGCCCGTCATGCATAAATTGCAGACGCGAAACCATAACATGATCGACACCATCTATGTCTGCGAGTATGCGCAACTTCAGGATCCGCGTGACGCGCTTCAGCTTCCCGGTCCCAATTCCAGTCAAAATGCTGCCATGCTGGTAGAAAAGTTCCCAGAACAGGTGCTCAACGGCTTTAGTCCCATGTCTACCCCAACGACCGGTATCTACACCATGGCTAACGAGCATCTGTTTAAACTCATCCACGACGTTGCTCTCGATGCTCCGGGCTGTCAATGGGAAACTCGACGGCGGTATTCTGAGCACCGGTATGCCACGCAGCTTTCCAGCCACATGGCTAGTGTTCTCTCCACTTGTGGCCTGCGCTTCTGCCACATCATCGTTAATCTCTCTGTCCAGGTACAGAAGCGACAAGCTGGACTTTTTGTCCACGTCGCACACCACCCTCTGCGATACGCCTTGGCAACAGGCCTGGGTGGAACCCATCCTCCCAGACCGGGCAGGCTACAAGCCAAAAGGAGTTCCTGAGAGAACTTCGGGTTGTTTGTTTAGGGTTGGCTGGGTTGAGCGCAGATAGAGTGCGTTGCTTTACACAAATATCCACAGCTCTACTGCAAAAGCTGCGGAGATGCATGTTACAGGCTGCAGCATTTGTCATGGCACGGCTTCCTGATGTAGATAGGCGGATCAGGATGAATTGCAGGAGAAAAAATTGACGTCCACGTCTGCAAACGGCCCTGGCTACATCTGGCTACCAACTGCATGACCACAGCATCCGCGTCCATGTAGTCTTCCGGCTTGAGGTTGAGGATCTGCCCAGGCCGTGTGGTGAGGTTCAAATGGGGTTTGAGTGTTGTCACTGTGATTTTCAATTCTCACGGTGTTCCCAGAAGGCCCGGTGCTGCTGACAATGCTCAAGCAGCTATCAGACTGCCATCACTCCGAACGTGCGCAGGCCAACCTTGTTGCCAACTTTGAAGCCAATGTTGGGCAGACTGTCGTAGTTCGAGCAGTCCTCCTTTGCACTACACTACAAGCCAGCACGAACCTATCAACCTCGGATTCCAACGCTGCTATGTAATAATTGGTAGGCCATTTGGTAACTTTCAATATAGTATGCGGGATGTTCACCTTCCGTGGCATACCCTTCACTATTCTTGGCCGCAGACTCTGGCCGCCACTTTCTCCTGCACAACATTGCTCTGCAGGTCCAATTCATGCTGAGATTGAGATTCGTAGTCGTCACACAGACACAGGCCAATATAGCATACAAGCCTGCAGACGGGCGACGAGAGCCGGAGGACCGGCCAACATTGATGTGCCGGTGTCCACTGCTACCTGACTTAGTAGCACCACGGACACAAGAAAATAAAGCAAGCAACAGTCACGAGCAAAAAATGCATCCAGGAATCGCTTCTGTACTAAAGCCAATCAGCCAGTTCGGTTTTGCAATTTGCACGTGTTACCTTCCAGATGTTTGGCCTACATTAGTGATATCATTGCCTTGCCTGGCATCCTTGAGAACCACAGAGACCTGTCTCGGTGTTGTCGAAGGTAATGTCCCGAACGGCCACCTGCGAACAAAACTGTCTGCCTTCAACGAAGACATACCAAGACCGTCTATGGATCCCGCAACTCTATAGGGAGGGCGACTGCGTATGCCTTCATGAGTTACAGTCATGATCCCCTTGGGGTCCTGTGCACGCATCTTGGTTTTTTGCAGGATTCAGGCTTAGGAATGGACAGACTATACCTGGCAATGTCTCTATGAGTCCCTTCTGTTCTTCTCCATGCCCCCGCGCTGAGCCTTCTAGGATTTCAAGCATAGTGCAAGGCCCTCTCCACCCTACACATCCCTCTCGAAGCAATACATGTTTCCATACCTGATGGGCCTGCCAGTAGGACTCATGTGTCACCGGCGCCCAAACCACCTCTGAGGCCAGCAACTCTGGCCTGCAAAACAGCTGACAGGGATGCTCAAGGAATGCTGCAAGTACAGGAGAAAGTCTTGGTAGGCGTGATACAGGACGTGCTGTTGGAACTGCAAGCACAGCCCCCAAATGTCATAAAGTCCTGGTTGCTGTTAGTAGCTACACTATTATCAACATATGAGCGGTGCTGGGACCCAGAGGCTAGCCTTCTATCCAATTTAACACGTTATCAAGTTGTTTTACTAATCGCATTCCCATCAAGGTACGTGTAATTTGAGTTGCTACGTCATTATTTTATTTACTCTTGTCGTTTTGCCATGATCTTTACACGAGGTGAAGTTGTTTGTGTCACTTCAATATGAACCGTAGGGACCGGTGTTCTCGTACCAGCTCATATAATATATTTCTGTTGCCACGATTTGCCTCGTGACGTGCAAGACCTTATGTTAAGCAAGCTAACCTGATGTTCATGACTCTGCAGGGTCGAGAAATGCCTTCCACCTGCCTGCCACGCTCTGGTTCATGCCATCCCGTCATGCCATGCCATGCCCAGTACGACCCATTTCCAGATCCGCCTGTAGCCGCCGAAGGTGATCTCGCTGGAGCCATCCTACAGACTGTAGAAACGGGATTAAGGAAGACAGAAAGTGAACATGACAAATTGCATGCGCAACCCGCCTCCGTCAGGAAGACTGAGAACTGGCCGGAAGGTAATGAGCCAGTCCTGGGACGGCCACAAACCAGTGCAGAAACTCATCAGCCACCGGCTTCAAATCACTGAGACAAACTGGCGGAACAGCGCCACACCTGTGTCATGAATGAAAGCGTCAGGAACCTGGCTCGTACATGTCATCCAAGATGTTGAAGTTTTGGCCCATGGACAAATCCTGGCCAGAAGCTGTACCACACTACCATGCTTCCCTATGCCGTGCAACACGCCAACAAGCAATACAAGCAAGTAGGCAACACCTTGAAGCCGAGGCCCAGAATGCCGTCGAAAGGAGTCGAAGAGAAGGGGATTGCCTCTGCAGCTCGCACTGGGCACTAAGCCAACTATGGAGCGCATGAACCAAGAGAGGCGAGATAAATGCCTCTGTAAGCGAATGGGTTTTTGCGCGCCACTGAAGCAAAGACCCTGCTCGGGCTGAGCTTCCAGCACTCTGCTCCACCGACCCAATGAAACGCACCTGGCACTGCAGATGCTCAGCTCTAGGCGTGAGCAAATACTCTTGTTCCTTAGCGCGGTCACCGCAGAGTGGGGGTATCCATGTCGGGCTTCCCCTATCGGATCCTATCAGTTAGCAGCACTTCCGCGAAGCGAGTTGACAATAACTATGAGGAGCCTTGGTGCTGGGTTTCCTCTGGCTAAAGCAGGTTTGCTACGCATAAACGATGGCCGCCCATAGACTTGCGCCCAAGGCTTTTCAAGTCGCTCAGATGGCTTGACCCAGAGGAGTGCAGTGAAAGCATGCACCGTCTGCCTGCGAGCACAGAGACTCTGCTATGCAAAAGCGATCCTCGTAGAAGTCACCTGGCACGCAACAAGTCTATCTTGGTGACTTTCACGACTGCGTCAAGCGAAGTCAGCTTCCTGCAACACCAGCAGATTGGAAAAACTCGCGCAGGCCTGTGATCGACCCCGTGCCAAACGTGATCTCTGTTGATCCCTCACCATTCTCGTTCGTCACCTCTGCAGAATGTCAGCCCAAAGCCTTGCTGCTTTCCAGTAACTCAAGTCTGTCGAACCTCCTTCGAGGTGGAGGATTGGCGGGCATCATACTTCTTGTGGCGGGTGCACCTCACAACACAGGTACCCACACAATACACCCATGCCGAAGACTGCGAGAAGCCGAAGCCCGGGCCCCTCTGAAGTACATCTCGTGGTGGGAAGGATCAGGTTCCCACTGCCTGTGTCGAAGATCACCTGCTGCAATACGAGCTACTGGCAATATTAGGTTACCGAGGGACCACAAAGACTGGATATAGGGGTCGCTTTGGTGGTGTTAATTTAAATGATCCCTAAATAAACCCTCATAAACAGAAACCCATGTCCCTTCATCATATGGGACATATGCGCCACTGAATAAGTCTTCTACTAAAAAGAGTTGCTCTCAGGTTTTGGACGGATGGATTCGCAAACATGGCAACAAGCAGCTTGGCGCCCAAAACGTTGTCTTGACACGATATTGACCTATATCCAGAGCAGCCAGGATGAGCGTCGCACTTGTCTAGCTGCATCCTACTTTGCGATGCCAAGACATAACATAGGCCTTGAACTCCTGCGCTGGCGTGCCCACTCGAATGGATCCCCAATACGCAGTCTTGTGGACGATCTGCAATGGCAGGCTGGAGCAGCAGGCTGGGATTGAGGTGAGTTGGTGTCAACGCTCGGCAAGTCAATCCGTGCAGAGTGCATACTATCAGCTTACAGTCCAACTACACCCTTCCAGCCAGGCAGTGCAGAAATTGCTCTCAGCTGCCCCCAGACCTCGGTGGACATCTCGCCCATGTCTCTGCGCTTTGACCTCAGCAAAGAGCCTTTACCCACACCCCACCCTCAAGTTTGACGGAGATGTGCACAGAGATCAACCCCAAAAGCATACCCATTGCAGCCAGACATGCAAGTGCTGACCCGTAGTTCAGCATCAAAGCGAGCGAAAAATCATCCAAAAGCTAAGCTAAAATCACCAAGCCAACCCGCATTCTGGTATGCTAAACGCAGCCAAGTTTCTTGAGCGCATGCTTGTTGAAAAGCAGCGCCTGCCAATGTTGAGTCACCAGCGGCTGCTTCTTTTTGGCAAACGTTTTATGGATGTGGCACAGTGATTTACACCAAGCAACCATGACACCTCGGAAAAAGAAGGGAAACACTCAAGGTCAGTCCTCATGGTGGTGTCCAACTCTGGCAGTCGTTCTCTGCACAGTGCTACGCAATCTGCTTCCTCCTGCATTTTGGTGGGTTTTGAACTGACAGCAGTTTACGCTCACCAGCACATCCTGACCTGCTGCCGTCATGGGTTGTGACACACTGAAGTCCTTTGAGGAGGGCTCCCTCCGCAGAGGAGAACAAGGCGACCTGGCAGCATCTGCTGAGCCATTTTCCAAGCGAGGATGTCTAGGAACCCTCTGGAAGCATCAAGCTGCCAGGCCAGGGGTGCTAGAACGGGTCGCAGCCACATTGTGTCGGAGCCTGACCAGCCTGGAAGATTTATGTGCAACATCCTAAAAGCCCTCGGAACTTGCAAACTCTGCCTGGCGACCGGATTCCAGGCAGTAGGGGGAGATGGCAAAGGAGCAGGCCTAGAAACAAGCATCATTGCCATGAGTCCCCAGAGCATAAGTTGACGTGCTTGAACAGCAGGGAGAAGAGGTGGCCTGCCTTCAGACCCGCAGCCAGCCACCCCCCTTGAGGAAGCCACCACAGCCCCTCTGAAGCCAATGGCCGCACAGGTTCAAGCCACCTCACTCCCTCTTACACCTCCTAGCAGAAAATTTGGGCTGGACCTGAAATTAAAGTTGCAGCTTTCGCCTCTTTTCAAGCCAGTGCAGCATTTCAGCTCAGTGATGAAAACAAACCACTAGGCTTCAAAAAGACCAAGTGGGAGCAAAGAGCGAGTTCAGAGGCACTCCCCTCACCTCACTTGTACGGGATGCCGGGGTACCTGAGAATTTGCCATGAACTTGGAGTTGGAGTAGCAACACACGCACATAGCTGAGGCTGTAGCTGCGCATGATACTTGACAAAGTCGGAGCGCATGTTCTTGGTTGAGCACCACATGCTTTCACCCCTTGTGCAATTGAACACCTGATGCCATTAGTCTCCAGCGCTGATGATATCTCTCAGTTGCAGCATGCCAAAAATTGTCAAAGGTATCCGTTGCCAACCCGAGGTTGTGATTGCATGAACATCAGTGGAAATAAAACCAGTCTTTAGTTGAGGCTGCTGCCGTCATGACGTAGTCCCAGTGGATGGCTGGAGGCCTCAGCCGATAACATGTCCATGCACGTAAACAGAAAGCTTTTGATCTCGAGTCACTGGATGACAAAGGGGGATGTCTTTGTGCTGATGGCTGAGCGCAAGTCTCATAGATCCCCAATGTCAGGATCTTCTTCCATTCGTCACTCCACCACCCTTCAGAGTTGACTGAATAGCTACAATTGACAGACAGGAGGATTGTGCACAGGTGCTTTCTGAAAGCGCAGTAGGGCGAGTGCCAAAGCTGTACCAGGCAGCTGTTGGCGCAGCTACCTCACAGGTGTGCTTGCAACTTCGCTGGACAGACCCGAGTCACTGCACGAGGACACGGTTCCGGTACATTCTTGAAACGAACCATAACATACCAGAAATCATCGATCCCTCTTCTGCATGAGTGTATTACACTGGGGGTGTAGCATAGGCGGCCCAGGGTGCCATGCGAGACCAGACCTGCCAAATCAATCCAAAACAGCCATGATCTCCCGCCAAGACTATAGTCTTCATGTGCCTGGTACCAGCCATAGTTGCTACGCTGCGTCCATGCGGCTGTGGACGCCCAAAGCTTGTAGTACACTGCCTGCAGCAACAAAAGGCAAAGGTTATCAAGGCACGGAACGAGGCTGAGGAGTCTGATTCACAGTCGCCTTAGCCATCGCAGCAAATCCGAGCTTGGAACTTTGAGCCACTGGCTTTAGCAGTCACAGTAGCTTGCTGGAATGAGCATGAGCATGGTGCAGGCATGTCATTTATGTGTCTGACTGAAGTAGCATTTTCATTTGCCAACTGCTCTGTCACACAACACAAGTCTGCGAAACGAACAGCCAGTCGGGGAAATGGCAAGCAGCACGCACATCCGCTGCAGACTCTCACTTGTAGGGGATACCAGGATACCTTCAGAGCTGCATGTCAACAACTTCGCGGAAACGCAACATGAATTTTGCAAGTGGAGACATAGCAGCGTGCTGAAATGGACAAGTTTTGAAGCCTCTTGACTGCTGAAATGCATTGTGGCTCACACGCCAATCTTGAGCTATACTAATTGCGTGGTGCAGGCAGGGCGGACTATTTCCTTTTGCCACAAAGCGGAACAAAACACAAGAACATCCTTGGTTAAATCCCTCTTGGGCTCTACTTCTATACTAGAAGGAGCTACAAAAGACTATACAAGCGTACACTACTTAGAGTGTGAAAAGTGTCTGGCGCTACTGGGAAGGTCCTGGGTTTGGGGTTCTAGGCTGCTCTAGGGCTTACCTTACATCCCCCTAAAACCCTACAACTCTTGGCCGTTGCTGGATGCCTGCCACTCCAAGCTCCTCAGCTCCTAGTGTTCGCAGCATCACCACAGCCGGAGGAGCCGCTCTAGCAGCAGCTACCCGTCCTACGGCCGATGCTACGTGGGAGGTCGCCCTCAGACCCTCCGAGATCTTGACTCCTGTATGGACAGTTGTACCAAGCTGGGAGATAATGGTTTTGTGTCTGTTGATAATGGATCCTTTAGGTGTATGTGCCTGGGGTGGTGTTGCTTTCATGCATGCCGGCCCACAGCCAGGCAACTTTAACAACCGGACCTCCGGGGACGTCACCTGTTCTTGTGGCCCGGCCACAGGGCCTGCCCCACTCGCTTGATGGGCCTGAGCAACCCCGTGCACAGGAGCCAGCCAGCTCCTCAACAAGGCCCCGAACCAGAACCCCCCGAGCTAAGAAGACGCCGTCCCGTCTCCGCGGCCTCACCTGCAGCAGCCGGGATTGAGAGAGGGACAAGTCCCATTAGGGTTAGAGTTCCTCATAATCCTCAACCCTCTTCAGGTTCTGCCGACCCACCACCCCCTGAACCCAGGGAGGCTACCTCACCCGGCGTCCAAGACCCGCCTCTAAGTCGTATCCCTCGCACCGCTTCTCCACCAGCTCCAGTGTTGGAAGAGGAGAGGCCTCTGTTTGTACAGCCTGCCAGGCAACCTGCCCCAGGCCCTGCTTTCCATCCTGATCGCCAGCAGCCACCTGATGCTGCTGAGCCACCGCAACCTGACCCAGAGCCGGGGACTCCCCCCCCGCCACCTCCCGTGCATGGGAGAAGATACCAACCAGGGCGGCCAAGAGTGATTATCACTCCTTTTGGGCAGTGCGCACATCATATCTCTGGATGCCCATCCCTGGCACAAGGGTTACCGAGACACGCGGCCTGTGCCAATTTTGTTTTCCTCAGCACAAACCCGTGCCGACTTTTCACTACCCCTCAGAGGAACTGCATCCATGCCCGTGCGGATTGCAGGAGTATTGGGGGAGGCGAGGTACACAGGCGCCGGCTGTGCCAAACCTGTCTTCCAGACGGGGTTCAGCGTGGCTGAAGGGGGAGTGTCCAAGAAAACCACATGTATTTGTTTGCAGCCTGTATGGCTTCCCTCGTAGGGAGATGCAGTGGAGGTGTCGGCTTCAACACTCCTGCACCGGGTTCTCCTTCGCCCTGCAGTCCATCGCCCGGATATCGGACTGCAGGTGCGGGGTGGCCTGGAAATAGGGGGTGTCTGCGCTCTGCTCCAGGATGTAAGCCTCGAGGAGCTGGCCTCCGGCTTCTGACGGTATCGCTCAGCGAGTTCAACACGGGTGGGACGAGGTGGCTGCCTGCCATTGAAGCTTATGAAACCGCTAGGTCTAGTCTCCCTCTGAGGCACTTGTGCAGGAGGCGGGAGAGGGGGCTCACGGGTTTGCACACTGGGACTAACCTCCCCAAAGACCACCCTAAAACCCACAAAAACTCAATAGTAGGCCAATCAGACTGGCCCACACGCACATGCGGAACAGGTTTCCGCCAGTGGGCAGGGAGTTCACTGGGTGCGGCGTTTTGTGCCGAGGCTGCCTGAGTCTGACACAGAAGGGCAAGAGCCACAGGATTCAAGCTGCGGGGCACAGAGCTCGAGGGCCTGAAGCAGGTCCTCAAACCTTGAGTCCCTATATCCGCGGTCATAAAGACCCCTTCGAGGTGGGAGAGCTTCCACTCTGATGCCTCAACATCATAGTGAATGCTTGCACTCCTCCTTCGAAGGCCACGAGCTTGAGGGTTTTAATTGCAGGGGTCATGGCTTTGCCCGCTTCTGCAAGGGCAATGAGCTCTGCCTCTGCAGTGGCTGCCGGCACTGGCCCCACATGACAAGTGCTCCACCCCAGTAAACATGGTGCATTCCTTTACGTACATCCTTCCTCATAGTCAGCTGCGTAGCTGGCATCTGAGTACACTTCGACGCTGCTGGCATCGCACCTGTACTTCAGCTGGGCCCACTGACCAAAGTGATTAGGAGCCGGGCCGTAATGGAGGCCGACGGAAGGGGCATAGCGAAGGTACTTGACTATGTACATGCAGCGTGCAACCGCTTCGGCGGGGCTGGAGGCTACCACCTGGCAGGCCTTGGTCACTGCAAACGCAAGGTCGGGCCTTGTTCTGCCTGACAACCAAGAGCAGTTGTCCGCACGGCTGCTCCTCGGCAGGAGTCTCAGGAGCAGCAAACTCCTTGGGGACGGGGACGCGGCATTCCCCTTCAACAGCTTCCCATTTGGCAAGAAGCTCCTTGCAGTAGCCTTCCTGATGGACCTTGTAACCTGTAGGGGTCTTGGTAAGCTCAAACCCATTGAAGGCGAAGCTATCCCCTTCTTGGCACAACCAGCCTTGCCTGGGCCTCAGGACCTGCTATTGGATGTCGTCGATGTACAGGCCAAGGTACGTGAGAACCTTGCCGGTGGCAGCATCGCGGACGGACCAAACGTTGGCATCCTCCTCAAGGGGTGCGCACTGAATCTTTGCACCATCAGGCAGGCAGGTGAGGTTGGTAAGGGTAGCGTTGCGGTGGAGGGTCCAGGAGCGAGGCGCAACGTCTAGTCCGTACAGCGCTTTGTTCACGCGCCAGTACTTTTCTTGACAGACCCCCGCAGCCCTAAGTATGGCCAAAACCCTGACGATGATAGTAGTATTGTCTGGGGTCACCACAGGCGCGTTCTTGCAGGCGCGTTCTTGAAGGCTGTCTTGACGTCCGCTTCCCAGGATCCACTCACTGTCGAGGGCAACGCGCCTTACGAGGAGCCTGATGCTGTCACATGGGGCTCCTGACGCATAGACATCTGTTTTCTCACGTGACGCGGGTCTTGAACCTCCCTGAAAAAGCCTTCCGCGTGAACACAGCCCTGCCAGGAATGAGTTTTACATTGCCGCCCTGGGCCGACACCAGCCGCGTGAACTCCAAGTCGGTATCTGTATCTGTATCGGTTAGACGTCAACCTGCTCCTCGCATTGAGGTAGTTAAGACGCCAAATCAAGGGCGCCTAAGGCGCACACTGGCATGCAATTGGCACGGAGCCGCAGAAGGCAAAATGAAAGGCGCCTAAGGCGCACAGTGGCATGCTGGAGGCACGTATCCCCCAGAAACACAAGCAAAAAGCAAACAAAGGCATTTCCAGGCTTAATTAGGGTGGGCCCGCTCTCGGAGGAACAGGGAAAACACGGGTTCGGGATTAAGGAGGGTCACCTGCAACGCAGAGCTCAAACATGCGTTGCTGATGCTCGCAACTCCAAGTCGGACAGCGGTGAGACGGCTTGGGTTGAGACGACAAGCGAGTCATATTCCTCGCGCATGGACGGCGTCCACTCGGCCAAGCTTTGCCGAACGATCTCTGCAGGGATCGTCTTGGTTTGGAGAGGAGCCTCCTCATTTTCTCCCAGGTCCCCAGGGGACAGAGCGCACACTCGCTCATCCAGCTCGAGAAGCTTGTCCTTGCTGGCAACACGACAGACCCGATGCTTCTGCTCATGCCTGAGCAGCACACTGGCTCTTCAACCTGCTGCTGCCACTCCTGGGGATGGCTCGCCCTCGGGCCCTGGCTTGACTGCAAGGAGGCTGAGGAGGGTCAACGGCTGACGGCTGACTTGCTGCACGCAGCGAGACAGGGGGAAGACGGTAGGGGCAGGCACAGCACCGCTTTCGGGCGAACGACATGGCTCCCCCTACGCTAGGCTCGGAGGCCTGGACTTCTACGCTCGTGGCAACTCGCTATTTAAATGCCTTCGACGCTCGTGGCAACCTCTAAATTAAAACCTGGGACCTCTGCGTCTGCTGCTGCTGGACTGCTGCGTCCTGAAACAACATCCTGAAAAACAGGATGCCACAGTCCACACACATCACAGGGGCCATTGCTCTGCAAAGGCTCCTCACACATCCAACAAAATCTAGGAGATTCTTGAGGTCTACCAACAACCCGAACTAGGGTGAGTGCTCCGGAGCGGGGGACCTCTGCGTGCGCTGCTGCTGCGAGACTGCTGAGTCCTTGGATGGCCGCCAGACGGGGCCTAACATTACGATCAATTCCTGAAGAGGAAGACGGCTCTACTGTCTCAGGCTGCAGGATCCTCCTGGGTTCGGGGCTTCCTTCCCAGTTGTACTGGAAACCCCTTCCTC